TATGGTCTTATGGCCAACCCTTACTCGTACTTTCATGCTACATATATTTAAAATTATTTCAATTTAGTAATTTAATGTTTTATAAATTTATAATTCAGTAGTTCACAACTTACTCAATGTGTTGCGAACAGGTGATTGCCAAGTTTTTGAGCTTGATGTACAGTTATTTGGACATTTCCTTGAGTAAGAACATAGTGCCGGATGGGATCAAGGGCAGAGAGATTCACCATTCATTTCCGATGACTCTTTTTCAGGTGGTTGATACTCATCAACTTTTTTCCAATGTTTTATGCATGTCTTCCACATGATTATGTTTCCAGGAATGGTGCATCGCATAAATAAGTCTGTGTAGATCTAAAAAATATTATTAGAAAGTAGGTTTAAGTCTAAATCAACACTAAAAAATCGGTTTATAAGATGAGGTTTGTATAAGCTTATATATTATAATTTATCAATATTTCTACTCAAGAAATAGAAGAACTTCAATAAGATCTATACAGTTTCAGGCAAGGTATGTTGGCAATCACAGAATATTTTATTTAGTTGAAATCAATGTGGGAAGAGTTGGAGCATTATAGACAAATTCAGCCCAACAATCTACTCATGCTTAGCAATGAGAAATGCTAGATCATATAGGCAGCATGATCCTAGAGTCATTTCATGCGTTTTTTGGTGGGTTTGCATGAGTCTTTCAGTGGAATGAGATCGCAGATCCTGCTTATGGATCCACTCCCAACTCTGAATCGCACCTTTTCAATGATATTACAACAAGAGTGGCAGAGCCAGCATCAAGTAATAGATGAATCAAGATCAATATCATATTTCTATCAAATCAGCTATCTTGTTTTTATTATTCTTTTGTCCTCTGTTACTTTGAGATATTGCTTTTTTAAAGTCACAACTAATATTGAGATTCCACTCCCACTTACACCATATTTGATGTTTCCCTTTCAGTGGCAACAACCTGGATTTGTATACACACGCACTAGATGACTGTAAAGTGACAAAGACTTAACAGAACAGCAATAAATTTGTTTTAGTAAAATCATTATTTGTAGTATATTAAAAATTAAACAGCCTGCCAGTTTTCTTTACTTTGTATCATAAAAGAAATCTAATAATTTGGTATTCTAAACCTACAGGTTAGTATACATGTTATCCATACCAATCCCTCACTTTGAAAAAAACTCTTAAGTCATTTTTGTTGTGGCCAAGTGAAAGAAGGATCTAGTTACATAGTCCTGGGGAGATTTTATGCAGAAAGTTGCATGTTCTTCACAAGATGCTTAGAATCATCAGCAACAGTTATTCATCTATTAATTATACTGAACATTGTAATGTTTACTTCCCTGAACATTTCTACTTATAAATGTGAACTTTAAGTCATCATGGCCACAATCTGCAGCCTCACACTACTCGTCTGGACCATAAGACGCTGAAGCTTCTCAAAAACTGGACTTGGCAATTTGTTGTGATACGTCCAGTGTGCTCAATCTTGATGATAACCCTCCAGTATTTTGATATTTATCCCAGTTGGGTCAGCTGGACAAACACAATCATCCTAAACATTTCAGTGTCATTGGCACTGTATTCTCTTGTTGTTTTCTACCACGTGTTTTCTAAAGAGCTGGAACCACATAAGCCTCTTGCCAAGTTTTTATGCATAAAAGGGATTGTCTTCTTCTGCTTTTGGCAGGTATGTTCGTATGCTTTTGCTTGATCTTTTGAACCATGATGGATAAACGATTATATTAGATTGTGCTCTGTAAAATTTGGATTGTGCTATTAAAATGCATCTCTTTTAAAGATGAAATACTTTGGTTTGGAATTTCAAATTTATTATCACTTCTAGTCTTCAGTCACTGCACATTATCTTAGTTAACTAATTGATTTCTAGATTGTAGTCCATTTTGGGAAAATAACTTAAGTGCGGCCTACAAAGAGGAAATAAAGTTCAATTGTTTCTGAAAGTCTTTTTCATAAACTCTCCTGAAGAGATTATTTGAATTAAGTTATACACTTAGAATAAATTATCACAAGTTTTTTTTCAATCACAAGTTGTTATAAGTAAGTCACTGTAAATAAGTTCTTCTAAACACACTCTATGTAAATTGAGGACTTGCAATTAGGCTTAAATAAACATTTGATTTATCCAGGATTCTGAACACTACACATCCTATCCTGGAAATAAGACATCTGTTTGTTATATTTACAAGATTTTGTTGGTTTAATGCAGATGGTATATTACATTAACTGCTAACTTTATTCAATTATGCAGGGAATTGTGCTTGATCTCCTGGCAGCATTGGGAATAATCCGATCCAAGTACTCCTGGTTAGCCGTGGAACGCATTGAGGAAGGTTACCAGAACATTTTGGTTTGTATTGAAATGGTTTTCTTCTCTATATATCAGCAATATGCATACACAGCTGCACCATACAAGGTTAATAACAAGAGCAGTGCACCTTCAGATAAAAAGTCAAAGTGATTCCAGGATTTGGATTACTGAGTATTGAGATCTTCAATGTACTTCATAATCAGTGTTACTTCCGGCTTCTCCTTTATGAGAAAATAAGTAAACCGATATGCCAGAAATGCCGAAGTTTTTTTAATAAGGTGCACATACATTGATGCTAGCTACTTCTAAAGATCTAGAAAGTTTTATTCCACAATTATGCTTGGATGTTCTGCTTTCATTGGGTTTGTGTTAATTCATTGCATACCTTACTACTTTTGTTAGTCTTACAGCAAGAGAAGCCCGATTTACATGTTATTTATTATTACATATAAGATTATATCCATTTTTTCACGTGTTTCATAGTCTTTTTTCAACTTACAAATTGCAAAGAAAGTAAACTCCAAATGAGTCATAATCATAACTCAAACATTTATACATTCATAACACAAATTTAAGAAAAAAATAAAATAATATATATATATATATATATATATATATATATATATATATATATATATATTCATAATGTAGGTACAAAGATAAGATTTGCTTCCTCTTAAATGTTTGGTTACACTGTTTACGAAGTAATAGTCATTGATGGAAATTCTTGTAATAATTGTTGTAAAATACATGTATATATACAGCATTCCTGCAGTTGTTAAAAGTTTTAATTTCTATTGTGTACTCACATTAAACGATGATCTTTTTAATGGAGAATTCTTTATTAACATCATATTTTATGTTAGAAGAGTCAAATTTAAGAAGATATTTAGTCTCAATATCTTTATTTTATGTTTAGTTTCTTTTTTAACTAGTTTGGAACTCTGAGGGCAAACTTCGCATATTGTTTTCTTATATTTATTCATTTGGCTTGTCTCGTCACAATGCAGTTTACTCATAGCCAAGCAATGTAATCAATATGTTAAGAAAAGTGCTTGTGCATCTTACATAACTTAGTTGTCAATCGAAACAAAATATCCCCTCTTCTTTTTATATATGTACTTTTTTTCAAAATCTCTTCTCAACACTTATAATTCATATATCATAAAACTGTTAAAATTAACGCATTTTCATTTTTATTTTGCTAGTTTCGCAAATTGCAAGTTAATATGTTTGAACTTTAGCTCATTGAAATACTTCTCCTATAACGATCAAGTTTTTTTTTTAATAAACAAATATGAAAGTTTAAAATGTTTTCTTTTTCTAAAAGATTCCGACCATGGTAAGGAAGTGACTTATGCAGTTTATGGTGTACACGCCATTGATATATTAACGTAAGATTTAATTGTGTTTTTAATCTTTGAAATTTGTCATAATTTTGGTTTTAGTTTTCAAAATTAAAAATAAATCATTGTAGTTTAAAAAATTGAGAAATATGATTTTAATCCTTTGATATTAAATTTGATAAACCAAAACAGTTTTTTAAAACTGTTTTTAATCTTTCCAATTTAATATTTAGTATAGTTGTTCATTTGACCTATGATATGGACACTATCTCTCTTAAACTAAACCTTTTTAGAAACTTGGATGAGTGATTTTAAAAAACCTCAATCTCAAATACTTCATATAAGGTGAGTGGAAGTCAAATAAACAAACATTTGTGTAAAATCTCTACTGTGATAATTTTTTTTATTTCATAAATACTTACGAGAATATTAATGTTTATTTTTTGTTTTTAAATATTTTAGTTTTTTTAAGTGATATAATTTGATTAATTTAATAATGAATAGTTATATAAATAATATTACTCATTAAATACATATTTAAAGAACTGTTAAACGGATCAACTCAACTCAACCAATCTGAAATAAGTTTTGCCACATTTCGACTTTATCAACTTGTACACTTTGTTGATGTGTTCCACTCTTTCTTCCTTTTATGTGATTTTTTGTTTTTTTCAAGTTTTTCTAAAATATGTCCAACACGAGCAGTTTTTAAAACATCAGTATGTCCCTCAACTTTTCTGTTAATACACTGAAATAAACAAAAACAAGTGGGGTTGGTAAAGTCATTGAAAAATAGATGTTACAAGACACGTTACATTTGTTAGCAACTCAGTCATGGCTAAAGAGAAAAGAAACGGAAGAAATCCTTACTTTGTATAATTCCCAAAAGATATGTTTATATATATATATATGAAGAGAAAACGATGGAAAAGAAAACAACAAAAGTAACAGTAAAAACAGAAAAATAACTGGTTTTAACAGAATTAGTAATTCAAAAACTGTATACAACAAAGATATGATCTCTAATAACATTACAGGACATTTAAAAATAGATGTTAAAGTACATGTTATATGATTAATACTATGAAGAAGGACATGTTATAACTAGGACCTAGGAAACATGGTATACCTTAAGAGGTGACTGATAGGATACACAATCAGGGACAGTACCCAGACTCAAACGGTCAAATCTTATCCCAAGTAGTTATTATCCCCTTCCCATCTAACATGGTGAGAGGGGAGAAAGGAAAAAGAAAGCACATATTATGTTGCACTATCTTAATGATTTGTAGATCTCTGGTGTAAGTATTGTAAATTTATAGACGAGATCGGATGAATACTCTCCTTCCATTGCCCTGCACGAGATTGATTTCCTTTAAGCCATCATCTGATTTGTTTGGAGGCTGAGAGTGCTCAAAACGCTCGGTTGAAGTTTTGTACCGCTGCTTTATGCTATTCATGTCTTCCTTCACTTCCTCCATTTTTGTCTCAAAATGAAGGTCATTTGAAACCTTTAAATTAGGATGTTTCTGGGTATTTACAGTGGTTGGCAAGGGTATGTTCATTAATCCTTCTGGCACCATCTTATCTACTTGCTTTCTACCTGTGATGAGTAAAGTACGATATTTGCATATGTAACATGTACGTCAGTATGTACAATTTTTTCATGCAGTAGTACTAAACCGAAAACGATGTAACTGACGGAACTAAGAACTAAATTTTTAATTGGACGTATTTTTTTACCACTTTTTTAAACAAGGAAAACACATTTTCTCTACTTTTTTTCATTAACGTAAGCATTTTGATTTGTAAATATAATTTTTGTAATGTATATACTATACAGGCGAGGAGTCAAATGCAACCTACAAAAAGCATACTTAGAATATATTATATTATTAAAGAAAAATTTAACTCGAAAGAGATACATATTAATTGATATTTGATAGTGTACGGTCAATGTAGCAGCAATACCTCAAGCATAAGAAAAACTTACAAGAATTTTCTTAACACTCGAATCTTAAATGAAGAACATGAAATTAAAAGTAAATGCAATTTTGAGAACATAAAATACATTCTTCTATTAAAAAAAAAAAAAAAAAAAAAAAAAAAAAAAAAAAAAAAACTAAAAGGATCATAATAAATTCAAGAGCTCACTTAATGTAGTAAATTCATCCTAATTCTTAGTAAAGACATAAGCAGTGATGTTTTCTTGGTTCGCAACAAGTATATCCCCCGGCTGATAGTTAAAAACTGATTCTTTCAAAGTGTACAAACCACCAAAGTGACTTTTGCCTCTTCCGAATAAGTATTTTCATAGTACATGACCAAAAATCAAACTTCTCTTCGCATCTTTGAGGGACTCAGTTATCTACCAAATCCAAAAGGGCTAAGTTATAAAACCAGATCCACTGGATGCTTATCTCTAAACCTAAGGAATAATAAAGAGCCAAAGTGAGACCCCGAGATGACAGCTGATTATCAAGGATATGATTCTTACAAAGTGAGAAGTAGGCTTTAGAGGATAAAGTACACTTATATCTATAAATGTTGATGGTTAAATTGTGATAAAATCAAGGACACAGAAAAAAGAAAAAGAAAAAAAAAAAAAAAGTTAGAGTCGATATCAACCATTACTTTATCTATTTCACTCTCATCATTTTAGAAGAACTAAATCCTGGTTAATAAAGTCAAAAATCAATGGCTATCTTACGACATTGAATCAAGGATATGGATGACAAGTAATACCAGACTAACTGACAAAGGCATCATCAAACATTGGACAAGATACTCCCAACACTGAAGTTGCCCCACAGAAATGTTCAATTACTCACTTTTCAAATGTACATTCACTTCAATTCTGTAGGAATATGAAATATAAGTGTTGGATATAAAATTCTTTCTTCAGCTAAAAATAATAACAAAACTAATACCTTATTTCCACTCTCCTCCACATTCGTGAGATGCAATTTTGAAAACACGAATACGACATGAAATATTCATAATCATAAAAGCAAGAGCATATACACTTAAAATAAAAGCATCAAACAAAATATATTACCCAACATTAGTAATTCATGGTTGAGCACTCAATTGATCAAAAACTCAAAATAGTTAAAGAAATAACTTAATTCCTTTACAGAAAATAGTTTAAGATTATTTTAAGATTCCCTTTTATTATTTGCGTGTGAAAAGGCTTTTGAAGAAAAACACGATAATTCATTAGATTGTTTTTTTCTTCCTAGAAATCAAACACGAACGTCGGATTCTGATTGAAAAGAAAACGTGCAACGACCCGTGTATGTCATTCTATATGAAGAGTTGGACAAACAGTGAGTGATGAGAGTGAAATGAAAAGAAAGGTTTGAAAAAGGGAGAAGAAATGACCTGGGATAATTTTGCGAGAGCCGTCGATGGCCGAACCCACGGCGAACTTGACGAGATCTACCAGTATTTGGCTAAGCGTGTAGGGGCGGGCCATATCGGTCACGGCGGCGGCCATGCGTCGGCGGTGGCTTTCGAATCTGATTATCTTCTTTCGGATTAACGGTGTGTGGTTATGTGCTGCGATGGAGGAGCTTTCCAATTTGATTTAATTTAGATATTTATTTATAATTGTCGAATGCATGAGATCGTATATTTGTAGGCAAAAAGTCAAGTCAAATTTATATTCTATAAGTTTCAATTACATGAAATAAAATTAATTTATGCTAATAAAGAAATTTAATTAGTATCAAGTAATTATACATATTTATATTATTTACAATTTAATAGTTATAATATAAAATAATTTCATATGATAATTTAATTATATATTAAGGTTAGTAGTACATAGGTTTTTATGTAGAAATTTTTTTCCTCAACTATTATTTCTTAAATAAATAATCGAAAATGAATTTATCAAATTAAATTAAATTTACTTCTAGTTTTCTTCTAGTTAATGAAATTTTACTTATAAGTGAACGAAGAATATCTGAAATTTTTATATGTATATTGGAGATTTAAGAAATTAATCTATTGTCTTCTAAAAAATTTGGTGTTGTTATAAAATTTTCAAAATACTTTGAGGTATTGTTGGTTTATGAGAAAGTAGTAAAGCAAGTTTTATTTTTATATTTTTTTTTATAGAGGATGAGAAAGTGAGATTCTCATATAATGTGCAAAGTTATTTTCTAACACAATTTCAAAGAAACTGTCACATTTTAAAAAATTTTAATTTTGAGGATTTGAATAGTTATTTTCTATTAATTCTTGCTAATTCTTAAAAACATAAGAATTGACAAACTTTTCAGTTAATAAAAATTTATAAACAAATTTAAAATATTTGCGAAACATATTATTAAATTATTTAAAACTATTATGATCATTATTGCTAACTTGTAATAGAAGAGTTATTTTATAATCTTTTTCGTCGCAACAACTATTTCCTACCATATTCCGATTATCTAACAGCCCTCTATTATTTCTTATTATGTCAATATCATTATGATTATCTAACATTTTTGTTGTAACCACTATTATTTTCTACAAGGCTACAACTACTGGTGGAAATAAGATAGTATAATATAAACGATAAATTTGGCATTATCTTTGTCCAATTTCTCCTCTAAACCTTGCTTCCAACGAAGAGAGAACAAGTTCTAACACTTCATTCTTACTTATTCTTACTATCATAGTTCTTTCCTCCAAAACCCCATGAAAACAAATAAAGGATTGGAGATATAGATCTTTTTAATTTTTAATCAACCATTGAAATAGATTCTGGCTCTGCAGCAAAATTTTTATGAACGTTTGGAAGAACAGTTCATCATCAAATGAATAATCAAAGTAATAATTTATTTGCAATTTACACTAAAAGAGAGTTTATTACTTTCAAGGTAAAGAAAATATTTTAGAAAACAAATGAGCTTGTCATTATTTAATCACCAGTAGCCATATATAAGAGCTAAAACAAATGCTTTGTCTGTACCTAAGAACACTAATGCGTGTCTTCAAGAATACTACAGTATAATACCTATGTCACCCCGTAATTTTGTTCTGGTAACTCGAGAAATTCAAACAACATTGACAAATATAGTGCACTTTGGTTCCAGGTCATTTCCAGAACCATTACAGAATTTGTCAATAACGACTTAGATGATCCATGACCAAATTATGAAAGAAAGATCCGCCATGGCATGAATGGCCATGAATGAAACGAAGGAAAAAAAGGGGGCCAAGGTTTTTACATGCAAAATTATGTACATTACTGTTATATCAATAGTAGCTAAAAAGTGTAGTCATTGTTGCTTAAACACAGCCGAGTTATCGGTTAAGCCTTAACAGAATCTAACCATATTGTATGGCCAAATACAAATACATACAAACTGTAAACAGGCCTTGTTCTTTATCTTTATGTCAATGTAATTTAAAAAGAAAAACATATAAAACCAAATAACATGCATTTAGATCTCATATGCACAAGCACAAACCACATTGCAAATAGTTATAAACCTACTATTAATTCCTCGAGAACATACCATCACCAATAATAACTCTTACAAAGAAAGGCCAGCAAAAAGCAACTCCAACTCCTGCTCCTGTAATTTAGTTCTCTGAAATAACAGCATGATATAATAATAAAATTAATATCTTGTTATGAGCAAAATGTTGTTATGAGCAAAATGCAAATACATTCTTATGAAACTAAAAAGTAAACAAAGTATGTGAATAAACAACCTGAGGCTGATAAACACAGAATGATCTACCTGAACTGACATGAGTTGCAGAATTTTATTTAGAACCTTCAGACGGTGCGTGACATATGCACTGTTAGCAGGAAGTTGGTTCATTCTCTTGACTTCCTCATGAACAGCAGCCTGCTTTTTCTCACACCACATTTGTTTCTGTGGTTCAGGCTGATTAATAGCTCCAGTCTCCATCATTTGATCTAGGGTATTGCTACCCTTTAAACGATCAGAGGGATCCACTTTTTAACTCAACTAAGCAAACATCAACAAGAGAAATGCTCAGACACCCCAACTACAAACAACGAAAGACTCTAAAAGGGCTCATCAATTACAGCATAGTAGCATACAAACATGACAAAATCAACATGTTGATAAATCTAATTAATACTCCATCCTAGGTCACCGAGGTTACACACACCAACCAAATATGTTTTCCTAAACTTTTTTAGTTTCAATGGAACTTCATGATGCTAATTAGCCTCAAAATCAAAAGCTTAAGATAAGCGTCTAGTTCTTAGCAAATCATTTAACGATCAAAAGAGATGAATTGACAAGGTAGAAGCAACTTGAGTAGTTATAGTAGCCAAATATAACCAAGGAACATTTCAAGACCATTGACCAACAAAGCTTGAACACAAATATAAGACACATAGATGTATACGAAAAATTTAAATTATCACAAGATATGCCACGACCATAATATAACAAATAGGGGTAATAATAAATCAAGAGATGATCGATGTTTTAAACATGAGTATTAGTAATCGTGAACATAATAAAATGTATACCTTATCAAATCACTGTAATAATTCCATTTAAAATGGTTTATAAGTTTAAAAGCAAAATTTAAAAAAATGTAAAATACAGCTAACAGTATTCAGTAATTGCGAACTTTTCAACATAAATATGCATCCAGTGTTCTTCTCCCTTTCCATTGATCCTCAAAAGTATTAAAAAAATTATTTGATTTACAACACCATCCTTCTTTTTGTTGTATTCTGTTATAATTCAGTTTCTGGTTTAGTGTTGTTACAGTTCTGTTTTTGGTGGTTAAATCTGTATATAAGAGTTACCTCTCTTTGTTGTATTTGATACCTTACATATAACACTTACGCAAATATACAAACACATTGTGTGCATACAGTATTTCTTAATTCTTCTCTGCTCTCCAACAAGTGGTATCAAGAACAAAGGTTCAGATCTTGGAAACGAAAGTCATGGCAGCCAATGGAAGCGGAAATTTCGTATCTAACCTACCAGTTCTTGATGGCAAGAATTATAATCATTGGGTCATTCGGATGGAGGCTATTCTTGGCTATCAAGAATTGCTGGAAGTGGTCAGAGATGGTGCGAAGGAGAAAGACGAAGCTGCAAATAGAAAGAAGGATTGCAAGGCTCGTTGTCTTCTTCATCAATGTGTAGATACGGTAAATTTCGAAAAGATCTCCAAGGTGAAAACAACGAAAGAAGTTTGGGATATTTTGCAGAAAGTACATGGTGGAGCAGAGAAAACCAAGAAGGTGAAACCAAGAAGGTGAAACGACAGGCTCTCAAAAGGCAGTTTGAGTTGATGGCCATGTTGGAATCGGAGAGTGTTGCGGAATATTTCAACAGAGTCCAGCTCTTGGTTAATTCGATGAGAGCATGTGGAGCAACTGTGACAGAACAGTGTATGGTTGAAAAAATATTACGTACTCTCTCGATGAAGTTCGACTATATTGTAGTGACTATAGAGGAGTCAAAAGATACAGAGGAGATGACAGTGGAGGAGCTGCAGGGATCGCTAGAAGCTCATGAATTGAAGCTTGTGGAAAAAAATGTTGTGAAGATAGAAGAAGAACAAGCGTTAGCTGCTAAAAAAAATGAGTTTTTTCGCGTGGAAGATGGAAGAAAAATAGAAATGGTGGTCGTTTTGATAAAGAAGGTGGTTCTTTTAATCAAGAAAAGAACACAGGAGGTTATGGGGAACGTACAAAACAAATGAGAACTGCCAGAGGTAGTTTTGGCAGAGGAAGAGAAGGAAGAAAGAATCAAGATTTGAGAAAGATTTAAAGCTACACCTGTGAGAAGTGGGGGCACTATGCTGCTGATTGTTGGTTTGGAAAAGGCAAACAGAAAAAAGAGGTTGAGGCTGAAGCAAACGTGGCACAGAATGAAGCCAATGAAGAACCTATTGTATTGATGGTTACTGCCAGAAGGTTTCATAATAGGTAATTGGTTCTTGGATACGAGTTGTTCCAACCATATGACAGGTCATAGAAATTGGATTTCGAATTTGGATACAAGTAAAACCAGTAAAGTGAGGCTTGCAGATAACAATGTTATTGAGGCAGCAGGGATTGGTGATATCGTGATAAAGAAGAATGAGAAAGAAGTGATCATAATAGAGAGTGTGTTATATGTTCCTGGAATGAAATGTAACTTGTTAAGTGTTGGACAACTTGTTGAGAAGGGTTTCACTGTCACAATGCAGGGAGAAATGTTGAGAGTTTATGATGCAAGGAAGAAATTGGTGTTGCAATCACCACTGTCCAAGAATAGGACATTTCAAACAAGGCTAGATCCTGTTGAACAGCACTGTCTAGCAGCCACAGTTATTGATAAGTGGAGTTGGTTATGGCATCAAAGGTTTGAACATTTGAATTTCCATAGTCTCAAGAAATTAGCTGATAAAAATATGGTGATTGGTCTGCCTGAAATTATTGTGCCAAGAAAATTGTGTGAAGAATGCTTAGTTGGAAAACAGTCCAGAAATGTTTTTGATTTGCATATGCATATGAGAGTCAAGAGTGTGCTACATGTTGTATATTCAGACGTATGTGATCCATTTGAAGAGCTTTCACTTGGAAAGAATAGATATTTTGTAACATTTGTTGATGAATTCAGTAGGATGATTTGGCTATATCTTATCAAAGCCAAAAGTGACGTGTTGACAGTCTTCAAACGTTTCAAAGCTATGGCAGAAAGACAGTGTGGAAAAGAGTTGAAAATCTTGAGAACTGATGGAGGAGGTGAGTATGTGTCCAAAGAGTTTAAAGAATATTGTATTGGGCTGGGAATCCAACATGAGACGACAACACCCTATACCCCACAACATAATGGGTTGGCTGAAAGGAGAAATAGGACCATTCTTGATATGGCTAGGAGTATATTGAAACAGAAAAACTTGCCTCATTCTCTCTGGGGAGAAGCAATGTCTACTGCTGTGCATATTTTAAACAAGTGTCCTACCAAGAAGCTTGGAGATAAGGTCCCAGAAGAAAGTCTGGCAAAAAACCAGTGGTGAGCAATCTGAAAATTTTTTGTTCTGTGAGTTACAAACATACTCCAGATGCTAGGAGGAAGAAGTTGGGAGATAAAAGTACTGCAATGATAATGGTAGGATATCATCCTACAGGCGCATATAGACTCTACAATCCTGCTACTAATGAAGTTTGTATCAGTAGAGATGTTGTGATAAGTGAAGATGAGTCATGGAACTGGAAGGAAGCAACAGATATGGCTGGAAATCAGATTGTTTCAGTAACAATTGGAGATGAAAGTAAAGAGTTAGAGAGCAAGTACAAAGAGAACCAAGACAGAGAACCATGCCAAGAGCATTGATTGACTTTGAAGTTTATCCCGATAATACTATAAATAGTGAAGGAGATTTGGTTCATTTCGCGTTACTGGGAGAAGCAGAACCTATTGATCATGAAGAAGCTATGAAGCATGAGGTGTGGAAGGTTACAATGATGGAAGAATTGCATTCAATTGAGAAGAGTGGAACCTGGACATTGACAGAATTGCCTCTGAACAAGAAACCCATTGATGTAAAATGGGTTTTCAAGTTGAAATTACATCCAAATGGAGATATTGATAAAAGGAAATCAAGACTTGTTGCACGAGGATTCCTACAGAAAGAAGGTCTAGACTACACGGAAGTTTTTGCTCCTGTAGCTAGAATTGAAACTATAAGATTGGTGGTAGCTTTGGCAACTGGAAAAGGTTGGCCTTTGTTTCAACTTGATGTGAAATCGACTTTTCTCAATAGTCCACTTGAAGAGGAAGTATATGTCACTCAACCTCCTGGATTTCTGGTTAAAGGGAGTGAAAATAAAGTTTTCAGATTAAAGAAGGCTTTATATGGGTTGAAACAGGCACCAAGGGCCTGGAACAAGTTGATGGATGTGTTTATGATAAAGCATCAGTTTGTAAAATGTCCAGTGGAGCATGGAGTCTATGTTAAAATTCTGGATGAAGCCAATAATATGTTGTTAATGTGCATATACGTTGATGATTTGCTTCTTATGGGTAGTAATCAAGCTGAAATAAGTAGATAATGGGATATTGAAGGTGGTTTACTGTCCTACTCAGCATCAAGTGGCTGACATTTTTACCAAATCTTTGAAGGAGAGGTTTGAAATGTTAAGGGCTGAACTAGGGGTTGTTAGTTTGAGAAATTGAATTAAGGGGGAATGTTGTATTCTGTTATAATTCAGTTTTTGGTTTAGTGCTGTTACAATTCTATTTTTGTGGTGGTTAAATCTGTATATAAGAGTTACCTCTTTTTGTTGTATTTGATACTTTTTTATATAACACTTAAGCAAATATACAAACACACGTTGTGTGCATGCAGTATTTCTTAATTCTTCTCTATTCTTCTCTGCTCTCCAACACTTTTAGTGTTTTTAAACCAAACCACCGCCATAAGGAATCATGAAACCAACAATCAGAAAGAGAGAGAACAAGCTTCCAACGTCAGCAACTGGACATCAGGGATAAGCAAATTTCCAAATAGAGTTCGATAGTTACATAAAATATTATCACAAAAGCTTCTCCAATACAGTATCCACGACTAAATCAAATCAAATTCAATACAATATCTTATATTAATTTTATCCACAACAAAAGTAAACCTTAGTAAAGCATATTTCGATTAGTACAGAAGGCGTTCAACTTTTCTGAAACGACAACACATAATCGACCGCGTAAGATACACACTAAGTGCATCAAATTAATTCCTCAATTTATTTGTTTCCTGAAGAATGGTCTCTGAATTTTTATTTTTATTATTTTCTCTTTTACTTACTACTTTCAACATATTAACAATTAAACAAGCGAAATAACGATGACAATTACATGTAGAAGTAAAGAGGAATTGGAACGCTAGCATGAAAGTAAAGAAGAACTTACAAGCAGAAAGAGAGAAGAAG